ACCATTTTTTAAACTAGCCATCTAATAATCTATTATAAAATCTTGCGAGGATTCTGACAGTCTCCCAGTTTCTAGCCTGGTGCCTTAGCCACTATAACAAACTGGCTCTCCATATATAGTTTTTATCTTCCTGCATTTTATCCTTACTGTACTCGTGGGAACTGGTTATGGCCACAGAGTCCGTGATTGGTCTAAAGTTGCCCGTTAAGTTTCACAGCTGTTCTGTAAATTGTTATAATTAATTTTGGGGTATAATTAATTTTGGGGTATAAATATTTATATATTAATATATTAAATATTTATATCTTCCCTTTACTCACTGAGCTTGAGGCAACACCAACACAAATGAAAAACAGCAGTAATTTATAAAACAACAATAAATAAATACAAGTATCATAGAGTAGAACAAGAAACAAAAAGGTTGTGAACCCTCACATATAAATACAGTCATATTAAGTTTGAAAAGTTTTCATAAAAAAAAAAAGGCTTCGACCTTTCTGCAGGAAGCCAACAGAATGGGTGAAGTGAGATGTCTCAGCAGTTTGGGGAAAGAATTCCAGAACTTGAGAATTGAAATAGGTATCTCTCTGGACCCAGCTTGATTTATTTCTGGGATCATGCTGTAACACAGAAAAAAGCATCTGCTATTGATCTCAATAGATAATAAGGATGACATGGGAGAAAATGCATTGAGTGAGTATGAGATTACATGACCTTTAAGGTAACTTCCAACTCCATGGTTTTATAAAATCCTTAGGTATCCTGAATGTACATAATTAAAAAAAAATGATTGAATTGAAGCCAGAGAAAATCTGAAAGTTGTTTAAATAAAGGAATTAACTTCAGACTGTCTCAATTATAACAGGCTATCTCCAGGACACCAGACTAGTTATATTTCTAAGCATTCTTCAAAGGCAAATTTATATAGGACACATTGCGGTTATCCAGAGAAGATTGCATATATTTCCCTAGCCAACTCCCCAGGAAAGGGCTTAATTGGTTCACTTCTGAAAATTGGACAAAGGCTCTCTTTTTTGCAATGTGAATGTTAGATTTAAAAAATAAGATATGGACTATTTATCTGCAGATTTACTTGATTTTGTGAGAGAATTGAGTGTGTAGGCGTTTGTGGATAGCAGAAAATTGTTTCAGGCTCCACGCATGCTGCGTATGGAGGGTATTTAAAATATGATTCAATATTTAAAATTATCAGGTGGATTACTATTTTTCATTCAAGACATTAAAACTAAACAGTTAAAATATAATTTGAAGAACTATATTAATATTTTCATTTTTTTACATGTTTTTGTTTATTGAGCCTGAGATATAATGCATATCCAATGAGTACAAAGCGGATTCATGATTGAAATGAAATTTGAACTTTGGATATGACAGAGCTATTTCTCATCAGTAGCATTTAGTAGTTAGATGGATTTATCACAGTTAATAAGTTTAAGCCTTACACTGAGGTAGAGTTTGCAACTAGAAATCTAGGCAGTTGCATTTATAAACATTAAACATAATATATTAAATAAATCTGTTTGTATCTTTCCGTGGCATTATTAAATGCCATTTAAAGAAAGCGTTGTTTCTTTTCTTTTGGAAAAAAATCTGATTCTGATACTTTGAGATACTTGGAATATTTGGTGGCTGTGAGCTTCTCTAGGGCCGTACCCCTCTGCAGAGGGGTAGGACCTATTAGATTGGTCCACCCACAGCGACTAATGGACTCTGATAGGTTTCAGAGGGAGTTGAGGATTATAATTGAGGATCTGCTGCATGGTCCTGCTGAGACCCTAGTCGTCGCCTGGAATAGGAGGGTGACTGATGCTTTAGACAGGACTGTGCCCATGCGACCTCTCCTGACTGTGGACCTTGTCGTGCCCCGTGGTATACGGAGGAACTGAGAGGGATGAAATAGATCAAGAGACGTCTATAGCATTGCTGGTGGAAGATGATGAATGAACTTAACCGAACACGGGTAAGAGCTGCTATTAAAGCCTACCTTATGGCAATTTGTGCAGCAAAGTGGAAATACTTCTCTGCACTAATTGCATCTGTAGACAATCATCCAGTGGCCCTCTTTAAGATGACCCAATTCCTTCTGGGGAAGGAGGAATTGGAGGTCTACCTGCAGGTGCACACTAAGGAATTTGCTGATTTTCTGGAAGATAAAATCACTCAGATTCGTCCCCAGTTGGATATCAGCGTGGATGCTGGTCTGGTGGAGATGCCTGGGGTAGGTTCTTGCCCGGTTATCTGGGAATGGTTTGTCCCTGTTGCTCCTGAGGAAGTGGACATGGTCTAGGGAATGTGAGCATGGCCACCTGTATTTTAGATCCGTGTCCCTCCTGTTCGGTTAAAGTCTCCTGGGAGGTGACTAGTAGGTGGATACTGGCAGGGGTTAATGCATCTTTAGAGGAGGGGGTGGTGCCCCAGCCTTTTAAAGAACCATTGGTTCACCCCCTTCTTAAGAAGCCATTGCTAGATTCCCCCGATGGACAATTTTTGTTCTCTCTCCAACCTTCCTTTTATGGGAAGGTTGTTGAGAAGGTTGTTGTGCTGCAGCTCCAGAGGATCCTGGATGAAACAGATTATGTAGACCTCTTTCAGTTGGGATTCAGAGCTGGATATGGGAGGGAAATGGCATTGGTTGCACTTTTTGATGATCTCTAGTGGGAGCAGGATGGGGGAGTGTATCCATCCTTGTTCTGCTTGACCTGTCTGTGGCTTTTGATGCCATCGACCATGGTATCCTTCTGGACCAGCTTTGGGGGTTGGGAGTGGGGGGCACTGTGTTGTTCTGATTCACTTTCTTCCTTTGAGGCCCTTCTCAGTTGGTGTTGATTGGGAGTGAGAGGTCCAGCCCTTGGCCCCTGCTTTGCAGGGTTCTGCAGGGGTTGGTGCTTTCTTCACTCCTGTTTAATATCTACATGAAGCTGCTGGGTGAGATCATCTGTCACCATAAGGTAAGATATCAGTATGCAGATGATATTCAGTTGTACATCTCTGCCCATGGCGAGCTAAGTGATGCTATGACTGCCCTTTCTTGGTGTCTGGAGGCTGTTGAGGTCTGGATGGGGAACACAGGCTGAAACTGAACCCTGGCAAGATGGAGTGGCTTTGGATTCGGGGCTCTTTGGTTTCTGGAGAATTGCCATCTTTGGTCTTGGGTGGGGTTGTACTGCCCAGATGGACCTGGTGCGTAATCTAGGGGTTCTCCTGGACTTACGATTTCTGCTTGAGGAGCAGGTGGCAGTTATGCCCAAAAAATGCGAATTGTGTGCCAGTTACGCCCATTCCTAGACCAACATGCCCTTCTCACAGTCACCCACACCCTAGTCACTTCCCGATTGGACTACTGTAACATGTTGTACATGGGACTGTCCTTGACGAGTATCAGGAAACTTCAGTTGGTTCAAAATGTGGTAGCCTGCACAGTTTTGCACAAGCCTACATTTGCACACATGTCACCTCTTTGTGGGAGCTGCATTGGTTGCTGCTTTGCTTCTGGATCCAATTCAAGGTGCTGGTTATTACCTTTAAAGCCTTACATGGCTTGGGGCCAGGTTATTTGAAGGACTGCCTTTCCCTAATTACATCTACCCTACCCACCAAAGCGGGGAGGCAGAATATGTTGTAGGTCCCTTCAGTGAGGGAGGTACATCTAGTGGGACCAAGAAAAAGGGCCTTCTCCATGGTGGTTTCCTCCTTATGGAATATCATTCCCTCAGAGATAAGACTGGCCCTCGCCCTGATCCTTTTCCAGAAGGCCCTGAAGATGTGGTTTTGTCAGTGGGCCTGAGGACTCCAGGCTGATATGGAGCCAATCAAATGGTTAATTTGAGTGTGTCTGTTGCCACCATGGAGGGTTGGTGGGGGGTTATTGTTTTTTTGTATTATGGGTTTTAATTCTGTAAGCCACCCAGAATCACCATGTGTGAGATGGGCGGCCATATAAATTTGTTTAAAAAATAAATTTAATAAT